CTCACAGCAGCCCAGCTCCAGGTGAGCTGTTGTTCAGCATCTTAGCTGTAGAGGGCAGTGTCACTGGCCCTCACATGTGGGATCCGAATCAGGGCCCTCTGGCGTCCCAAGCCAGTTCTTAACCAACGTGCCGACTCGGCCGGCCCTCAAGTGTTTTTTTATGTGTGACTTTTTCTCTGATTTGAGCATATTTTTAGGTTCTGGTATGAAGTAATTTCATTTTTTTTAAAGAAATTCTGTGATTTCAGTTTGTAATTCCACTTTTACCGAAGCTTGGTTTAGTTGAAGGTTTTTAAATTTCTAGGTAGAAGGGCTTTTTTTGTATTTTGACAAGTGTTATTTTTAACCTGATTGCACTGTGATCAGACAGTGTTGCTTGCTTGTACTTTTTGTACCTAATGGAATTTTCAATTGTGTGGCCTGATGATTCACACAGTGCGCTTGCTATCTGGTCTCTGTTTCCCTCTGCTGTGTGGCCACACTTCCCTGACCCCTCTGCCTGACACACCGGTTGCTGATAAATGTGTTGCTGCCCTTGGCAGTCTCCCTGTGAGGGTGAGCAGGGGCCATCGGTTGGGGGTGACGAGATCAACACTGAGTAGCCTTTCTGTGTTCTCCTGTCTCGTTGCAGAGAAGGAAGTGTGCACAGTCTCGGCGTCCTACACGTTGCCCAACTCACTGGTGTATGGAGCTGACTGGTCCTGGCTCAACTTCCACCTTCTGCCACAGACCCAGCAGTCACTCCACTTGAGGTCCTCTCCCTACAGCGACCCAGGGGCCAGGACAGCAGACGGGGGCCATAACCAGAAGTCTATAGGCCTGTCACTAGGACCTTCCTCTTTCGATCACTTAGCCAACCATGATGGAGAGGGTCGGGCCAAGCCCCAGAGTGGAAGTAAGGGGTGGGCTTCTGTGCAGCCACTCACAGAGGACATAAAAAGCGGCAGCAGACTGCACACCCCAGGGACCAAGATCTGTGATGGAGACCCGTGTCTGGAAACAGCCAACTTGGATATCAGCCTCCTAGCCACTTGCTCCTTCTACGACCATGTTCTTCACCTCTGGAAGTGGGACAACAGCTGAGTTAGGGAAGTTGCTTCCTTTGAAATCATGAAGACCATGTGTGAATGGACTTCCCTGAGACCATCTCAGAGTCTTAACCAGTCTGCAGGTGTAGGGCTCAGTGCATCTTATGGAGCGTACTGTGTAAACAGCAAGAAAGCTACTGGCTTCTTAAATAAACCTTACCTGTTGGGCCTGTCCAGATGGTGATTCTGTCCGACAGGGAGCAGGTGGAAGGCAGTGTGAGAGTCCTCTTCAGCTCTCAAACGTGTCACTTTCTTATGTGGATTTGACTTTTCAGTACTTCCTTATTTAAGCAATTTATATGAACTAAACAAAGTTGTTGTTTTTCTAAAAGCTACTTTGTAACACCAGTAGTTTCATATGAACTTTTAAAAAGATCACCGAGTGGCTCAGTTGGTTAAGAGCTCGCTCAAGAGTTTGAGCTCTGAGCAACAGTGGTTCGAGACCCAGCCCAAGCTGAGCTGTCGCTGAACAGGTGGCAGGATGGCTCAGCAAAAAAAAAAAAAAAATCACCTTATCACGGCTCTGAAGTGCTGCTGTTAGCCCCCTTTGCAGATGGCAGGGTGTGTTGTTGCCTTAGAGTGCTGTCAACTTGAAATGTCAGTGTTGCGGGTTAATCACACTTCCTCATCCTTGCTTTAATGAACTGAGTACCTTCCAGAACATGGACACGAGTAATCCAGATGCACAACTGGGTTTGTGACCCACCTGACTCCCTTCCACTGACAAAGGAATTAGTGTCATGGCCACTGTTGGATTTGTCAGTTTCTCAGCATCATAAGTACCATGCGTATTTGTTCTGAGTCAGAAAACGCGGTAACACTTTGCTTTCTTATTTTCTGATGAAACCCAACCTGCCCATGTGTCCGAGTGAGTGATCAATTATTCCATGCTGAATGATCAATTCCCTGCTAACAGCCCATTTATTTCAATAGAGAAAAGCTGATCCTTCCTTTAGAGTTTGTGTTGTCACCAGTTAAGCCGAGTACATAGAACCGGCGGACTATGCACTGCAAGGGACTAACATAAAGAGGAGACTAGATTGCTAGAGAAATCAGTTTTGGCACTAACTCCCTGGGTAGCCTCACCTTTAGGTTTGCTCCAAGGAGAGCAGTTTCTTTCACCTGTCCCCCCACCCACCCAAATAGCGGCTCTGGAGCCCATGAAGAATATGTTCATCGCTGGTTACTCGGGGTGAAGAGTGGGGGGCTGAATTAGCGAAGTGCTGTCTGCCCTGTCCAGGCGCTCCCTCCACCGGCTAAGCGACCTATTTTTGCCGTTGGCCTAAGTTCCCAGAACCACAGGGAATGGACTCTGGGAGCGCCGCCTGGGTCACTGCATGTTTTAATTTCACAACGACCAGATGCCAACAACAAACGCTATGGCAGCCAGGGTCTTTAATAGAAACGACGTGAGGGAGCCCCTCTCCACGCGCCCACCCCGGACGAGGGTCGTGAGGATGGCGGAGCGCAGAGCTCGGCTCGCAGGCCCCGGCGGCGCTGCGGCTAGCGCGGGAAGTTCTTGGGGTACAGCTGGAAGAGCTTGCCTTCCTGCGTGGGCTCGAAGCCGTACTTCTCCAGCCGCTCAGGGTCAAAAGTCCCGTCCTTGAAGTCCTTCTCAACGGCAGGCGCCACGGCTTCCCGAAAGAGCTGTTCCGCCGTCAGGGGTGTGTCCGTGCCCGCCGGGGCGCGGTAGTTCACGTAGGGCTTGAGCTTGAAGCCGGCCAGCTCGGGCACCACCAGCTCCGGCACCATCTCCTTGACCACCACGAACTTCCCGCCGCGGGCGTGGACGCCGGTGCTCTTCGTGCCGCGGCTCTTGTAGAAGGAGCGCGGGCCCCGCTTGCTGGTCCACTTGCTCATCCGGTCAGCGCCGCGCACCAGGCAGCGAGCCGCCCCGCTCAGGAGCCCCATGCCGGCCCTCACCCGACTGTCCGCAGCCCGCCAGACCTCGTGCGGCGACTGGCCCCACTGCGCGACGCTTCCGGCGCCCACAGCGGCTTCCGGCGCCCTTGGCTTACGCTCCGCAGCAAGAGCCGCTTCGATTGGTTGGGCCATGACCAATGCGCAGCCGCGGCCTTGTGAGGGGGGCGGGCCTTGCGGGGGCCGGCCAATGCGCAGGGAGATGCGGCGTCGGGACGGCGCGTCGGGGACCGGACGTCGGGGCGGGGTGACGGGAGCGCGGGCGTCGGGAGCGCGCTGTCCCGGTGAGTCGCCGCCGAGCTCCCGGAGGCGGCGAGCTTGGGTCCGGCCCTGTGGGGAGGGGTCGCCAGCAGCTCCCCCAGCGCGCGCCGGGGCGCACACTGCCCCACAGGCCCGCCTGGTCTGCGCGAGGATCCGCTTTTNTGGCTGCTGGCCACACACAGTAGCCCATGGTAACCTACTGCAGCAGGGGCTGCAGCCTATGCCGTCGCCAGCGACTCACGGCAGCCCAGCTCCAGGTTGAGCTGTTGTTCAGCATCTTAGCTGTGGCGGTGTCACTGGCCCTCATATGTGGGATCCAAACCGGGGCCCTCTGGCGTCCCAAGCCAGCTCTTAACCAACGCGCCACTCGGCCGGCCCCAGGTTTATTTTTTATTGAAGGATTTTTTTCTTCATCCTTATTGATTCACTTTTTATCTTTGAATTAACATTCACAATATTCTAGAAATTAAAGTTGTGTTAAAAAGCATGCTCAGAGGACTCAGTCCTTCCCTTCCCTTGTCCCCACTCACCTCTTATGGATGACGCATTTCGTTAGGTTTGGGTTATAATTGTGTATCTTTTTGCACAAATGTGCATGTGTGTGTATCTGTGTACTCATACTTCTCCTTTTTTATACAAAGGTATTCTTCATACACTCTTTTGTGTTTGCTTTATTGCATTGAAAATACGTACCAGTTTATAGCGACGTCCTTCGTTCTTTAAAGTTACATAGCACCCCATCGAGGGTGGGTAGGCCATGGTTTTCTCATCCAGTTTTCTGTGTGACAATTTGGGCTGTTTCCACTATTTTGCAGTTCCATATAATGTTCCTTTGTGTTTTTGTTTGGTCGGCGGTGTATTGTTCAGGTTAGTGCCTAGTTGTAGGGTTGCAGGGTCAGAGGATGTGTCTGATTTCACTGCATCACCAGCCCATGTGACAACCCCTGCTTCCCATAGCCCTGCAGAGGGCGTGTTGACTGCTTTGGGGATTCTGCACCTGACACAGAGCAATGGTCTCTGGCCTAGTTTCAATTTGCACGTCTCTAGTTATGAGTAAAACTGAATAAGTTTTTATATGTTGAAGAGCTGGTTTTATATTTTTGTTTTTATGAATAATCTTTGTCTATCTTTTGTCTGTTTTTCTCTCTGGTTTCTGGGTACCACACCCCCGCTCCCTCCGCCACCCCATTTTATTGAGTTCTTATGTATTGGTGGCATTAGCCCTTTGTCTATGATGTATGTTGGAAATATTTTCTCTCAGTTTGCTGTTTTGATTTTTGCCTGTGGTGGTTTTTTTTCTCCCATGTAAACGTTTTTTGTTTTTTGTTTTAATGTAATCCATTTATAGATTTTTTTTTCATTGAATCTGGATTTTGAGCCTTAAAAAGCCTTTAGTTTCCCACGCTCAGGTTACAAAGGAATCACCAGTGTTTTCCTCTCGTACTCTTATGGTTTTAGTTTTTTACAGTGAGAACTTGGATCCGTGTTCTTCTTTGTGGTTTATGGAGCTGTCCCAACACCATTTATTGAAAAGGCCACGTGCCCCAGTGACTCGAGATGCCACATGTATCTTCCTCGGTTTCTCGTCCCCTCTCCTGTCCCACTGCCTTAATTGTGGAGGCTTGGTGGTGCATTTGTGATGGTAGTGATGCTGCCTCTTCTGGCTGTTCTCCAGGATTTCTTGACTATTCTTATATTTTGAACTTGAGTGTCAACTTATCTTGTCCCAGAAAGAAGCTTACTGTTTTTTTTATAGGGATTGCATTAAATATAAGTTAACTTTACATCTGACTTATTTACCATCCAGGGTCATGTTAGTCAAGAAAAGAGATACCTTTCCATTTGTTGAAGCCTTTTTTTCTATGTATACATTGTACATTTCTTGTTAACTTTATTCCTAAGTAGTTTATCTTTTTGTTGTTACTGTAACAAAAAAGCAACATTGTCTTCCATTATATCTTCTAACTGGATATTGTCTGAGTATTTGAAAACTGTTGGGCTTTTTGTTGATAATTTCATATCCTGCTGCCTTACTAAAAATAAATTTTTAACATTGTTTCTGTCAGTTTTATCATTGATGCTCTGTGTTTTCCAAGTAAATGTGGTATGTCAAAAAGGTATAGTTTATCATGTTGAAGAAGTGTCCAAAAATTCGTTTTGTTTGTATTAAATCAGGAATTATTAAATTTTTCTCAAGTGATTTTATTATATCTATTGAACTGGATCCATTTTCCCCTTGGATTTATTAATGGTGAATTTGTTTATAGATTTCCTCACGGAATGTGTTCCTGGGATAAACCCTACTTGGTCTTTTTAATGTGGACTCTGGTGATATTTATGGTTTTGCATTAATATTTAAAGTGACACAAATTTTCTCTTGTGCTATTTTAGTGAAGATTTGATATCAGATTGTTTGATTCATGTGAAAATCAAACTGAAAGTGTGAAAATTTTTCTTCATTTTCTCTTAATTTTTATATCATTTGGATTTGTTTTTTCTTTCAAGATTTGGTAATATTCTCCTGTGAGACTATCTCGGTCTGATCTATTTTTATGTGGAAGTTCCTTGACAACTTTATATTTTTCTATGAAAGTTGGTTTATGCTTTATGTCTCTACTGGGGTCAATTTTGGTGAATTGTATTTTCCTAGGCTATTATTCATTTTATCTACATTTTGAAATTCATTTGCATGACGGTGTGTAAAGAAGTCACTTGTGCTTTAAAAAACTTTACTTTTTAGTGGTTATTTCCTCTGTCATGTTTTACTTTGTGTATTTATGCAAATATACAAATATATATGTAAAGTTCTTTTTCCTTAATTAGGCTTGCCAGAGGTTTGTCTACTGTTATTTTTTTAAAGGTAGGATTTTTAGTTTTTCTCAGTTGTCTGGTTTTTCTGTTCTGTCTCATCTGTTTCCCTTATCTTTGTCCCCCTCCTCGTGTCCGTAGTTCTTTTTCTGACATTTTGAGTTAGGAATACAATTCACTTAACTTTATTATTTTGTTTGTATAAATTCAAGTGGTGTTTTGTTTTGTTTTTAAAGATTTTTATTGGGGAATTGGGGGATGGGAACCGTGCTGGGGAATTGGGGGAAGGGGAACACACAAGTTGCTGTCCTTTTGTTCTTCAGTCTAGTTGTGTAGGACGTTGCTTC